GTATCTTTTCTTTTATGTACACTGAGAGTATTTACACCAAGACAAATAAATTCCTTGTGTGTCCCATCACACTTGGCCAATAAAGTATTCTATCCTCTATCTATCTATCTATCTATCTATCTATCTATCTATCTATCTATCTAATTAAAATGTAGCCTTTTGGTTATAAGCCTAATTGGGACTAGAATTTCCATTGCTAAGTAAAGTGGTAGTTAAGCAAAACATCACATGACTGTACTCCTTAGTGACAGCAGGCTTGGTTGTGGTCATAGGATAACAACTATGTGGTTGTTAGGTGAGGCCCTCATGCTTCTGCCCTACGCATAGAAATTCAGCTCGCCCCTCCTCATCTCTTGCCCTTAGCATGGCTGAGATGAAGAGACTGCTGTATTCCACTGCCACAACTTCAACATTCTAATTATCAAATTAAATTTGGAAACAGCTAGACATATTTACAATACCTAATCTTTCTGAATTTGAATAATTAGATATAGACATAGTTAGGAGGAAATGTGCTTCTATTTGCTTTTTCCCTGATAATGCAGTAATTGCTAGAAAATACATTACAAACCATAGCAGTCAATATGTTTTTGCATGAATTCAGTGAATTCAATTCAATGAAGCCCATGGGGAAAAAATCCTGGTTCCTGGTTCTAAATGTTCTCTTAATATTGCTGGTGCGTTCCAGTGAGCTATATGCAATGTTGCATGAATCATCATATACTCTTGCTTAGGAGACTGCCATTATTCCAGAGAGTCCACCATGACACCCTCTACATCTTTTCCAGAGGGCCCCCAAACTGTCCAAAAGAGAAAGAGTTTTATGGAAAAAGTCTTCCTGCCAACAGATGCTGTTCTGCTCACTTAATAGTATTGTGACCATTATTATCCTCATTCCTACCCATTTTGCTGTGACTTCATTATAAAACCATGTCATTCCTGGAGCTATTTTACTTTAACATCAAGATACAGGAAGGAACAACGTTGTTCAATTATTTATTCTACATCTAGCTAATTTTCTTGTGAATTTCAGTAGAAACATAAACAAATCCCTGATATCCATATGGGGCTTACACAGGAACCATGATTTGAAATTTTTGCAAACATGTCAGATTCATAGTTTGCTGGATTTCTATTTCATAGTAATGCTGAAGTCTTTAATAATCTGATAAATTAAAATGCTAAGTAGTTTGAAATATATGTTATGTAAATAATTAGCATGACCTTCTCTAAAACATATCTTTAAACATAGCGTTCCAAACATTTAAAGTGTATTAGCATTTGAAAGTAAATGTCCATGTTTATGGATTGCATTTATTCTTTCATATGCTTAACAATTTGAATATTTAATATAAACACATAATTGTCCTGGTATTTTGTCAACTAAGCAGCTGTATTTTTGCTTTTTATTAAGATATTGAATGTAAACTTTTGTATGTTGGTATTCTTTGACATCATGGAGTGAATATTCCAAACAGCTTCACAATAGATCTTGCTAGTAAATAACACAGACTTTGCAAAGTCACATAGTACTGGCTATTTAAATTTGAATGTCCTCTTACAGAAAGAAGAATCTAATTCTAAGTGTTATGTTAATACCCAAAGACACTATAAATCTATGTCTGTAGGTTCATTTTGCAGTAGAATTTTGTGTGTCCCCCCCACCAAAAAAGGGCTCTTCTTACCTATTGATGGATTTAGGTTGTTATCCTTTCTAATAGTTACCATATTCCTTTTGGAGGGGCAGTAATCACACATTCTGCAGTTGCATCCTCCATTCTGATGTGGGCTCTTGCTGTCCATTATTTTATATTTGCAAGCAGGTTACATAACATCCCTCTAGTGCTTAATCCTAAATTCCAATAACAAACACGCAAGAGTTATTGTTATATGGGTTAGGGTTAGGGTTTTTAGCCTTTTTTGTTCTTTGTCTTGGAAAGTCTTATATAGTGCTGTTAGTAGTTGACATGTGTTTTCACGTACAGATGGTCCTCAGCTAATGATCACAATTGGGCCTGGAATTCAGTTGTTATTGAAACTTTTTATATATTTGTTCCTCATGATGTTAAGTAAAGAATCTGTCTCTGTCTGTCTGTCTGTCTGTCTGTCTCACTCCTTTGTGTGTGTGTGTTTGTGTGGGTTGTGTGTGATTAGGATATATCTGTCGATGCATGTTTAGCTTGGAAATACCGAGCAATAATATTTAATAAAAACATTTTCTTCCTTTCAGGATCACCAGCCTTTTGCAAATGCTCATGATGTGTTGGCACGTTCCCGAAGCAGGGCCAACATGTTGAACAAAGTTGAATATGCCCAGCAGCGATGGAAACTCCAAGTCCAAGAACAGCGTAAATCTGTATTTGATCGCCATGTTGTGCTCAGTTAATATACCAGTGACATCCAAGATATTGATTGAAGTGCGCTAAAATAAATCACTGACCTCTGTCTTCCCGAAAAGCCACACCAGAAAGCTTGTTTTTGCATCTTACCAACAAAGATAGCACAAACACAAATGGAAGATCTTAAAATCTTTTAATAAGCCAAAATTTCTGTACATACTCAATTGCTTTTACTAATAAAATATAAGCAATTATTTGTGTGATCCTTATGAAATGGAGAGAAAATTGTCTATGGTTCTTAAATGAGGTTTACATGAATTTGGGGAAGAATGTGCATCATGTATGCTACAAGTGATCTACATATGAAATCTTTTGTAAATACATTGTTTTCTTATCACCTGTATGTTGCACATATAACTATCACTTCTAAAACTTTGAACTGTTAAATTATATTTCTATCGGCTTGTTAGCTTGCTTCTATAAATATAAGGTAGGCCTTACATGTACAGAGATAATTGGTAAGCTAGAGGCTTGACATATTAACTAAAGATACAGACTTAGTGCAATGTGCAATTGGAATTGGACCTTCTACGTTGCTTGCTAAAAATCTGTGATTATCTGCAATTCATGTAAATTTCAATAGTTGGTGGACAATTATTTTTTAAAATTAGCTTGACAATGGAATGCAAATAAAGTCTTCAGAATATTAGTATCAGAGGTAGATTTGTTTTTGTAAATCACACCTTTTATAGTAGTATTGTTTCATATCTGATCTGAAACCCTATCTGCAATCCATTTTGGCTATTAGGCCACTATAATTGGTACCCAGAAATCGTCAGAGGATGAAACTATTAAACTTAGAAAGACTCCACAATGTTATTTTCCTAGTTGTTTGAAATAAATGCCGTAGAGTTTTTTTTTTTTAATCCAATGCTTGGAGGCAAGGAAGATTGGAGTGGAGCAAAACAAGAGTTTGAGTAAATCCATCCAAGATAGAGCTGCTGTTCATCAATATACAATATATATCATCCAAATCACATCAATCCCTCTAGACAGGTTCATGCTCTTCCTGAAAGAGTTGGTCAGCGTCTCTTGCATTTGTAGCTCCTGCTTAAGTGGCAGGTGAAAGCTGTGATCAGGGGAGCTTTATCCATCTTCCATTGCTGTACCAGTTATAGCCCTCCTTGGACCAGAATGCCCCAATGACAGTCTTACTATAAGGACCACTTATCTGGATTATTGCCAAATACTCTGTGTCAGGATGGCTTTGGAGATACTCTTGGAGTTATAGCTGGTATAAAAAACAGTGTCCGGAGCATTAGAAGATCAATCCCACCAATACAGAATAACATCTATTTTAAAGTCATTTCATTGGTTACAACCAGGTTTCCAAATCCAGTTCAAAGTGCTGGTTGTTACCTTTTAAAGATCCATATAGTGCAACATTGATTATATTATGCAACCAAAGCTGAATCTCTCCTTAGTTTGGTCATTGCAAGAGGGTCTGCCAAGGGTATACATCCCTTGCCTTTTTTCCCAATAATTTTATTAAGAATTATATTAAACATAAATCTAATACACGGATCTAATTCAAAAATAATGAAAAGGGTGAAAGAAAAAAAATGTGCCTCTCCCCCCAAAAGCTAGTAAGAAACTTTCCCCTTCATCCCCAGCAAGTATATTCAACATTAACAACTAATCACTGTCTCTTAAAATACAGTCAAATAATCTTCATTCCATAGCTCAACCCATTTTCTATGAACTCATCTCTAAATCTTTAGCTCTTTATTAATTAGCAAGGATCTAATAAGAATTAGCAAAAATACCTAACAAAAGTATATACTTTCTATTTAGTCAAAAATCCCTCATCCCTTTCTAAATCTAATCCCAATTGACAAATGTTGCAAAACAATTAAAAAGTATTAAATATTACCAGAAACAATAATCCCTTATTTAGATAACAAAAATGGATAAAGTTAATGTCACAAACATTATATACATTATATCAAATTAAACATTTTGTCAGGCTAAGCCCAAGAATGGCATGGAACAATTCAGCCAAAATTCAGTTTTCTTTGCTTACACATAACAGACAAAATCTTGACACCCTAAATCCTTTTGGATATTCCTAGGAGATCCTAGAGAGTGGCTATACCAACTTTTTCCTCTCCATCTCAGGGCTATGCTGCCACCTGTCTCATCCCCCCTCACTTTCTGGAAAGTGCTCCTGTCTTCCTGGGAAACTGCCACCTCACTGTAGTCCTTCACACCAGCTCCCCCTCTGGGCATTATTTCATACATCTCTCCCTCACAAAAGCCTATTTAATCAAGATAACCATTATACACCATAACTAAAATTGGCCAATTTTGTACTCCCCCCTCCTATTCAATACCACAGATACAATTCTGACCTGTTTTCTTCTATCTTTGCCTCTTGCCTCAAAATTCTTATCATTTTTATCGAAGATCTTTCTAATTAACATCATTTTTTTTCTTTACATCAATTTCATCCAAAACTTTACCCCTTAAAAGCCTCAAAGACACCCCTTTGCCGTGTATTGCAAAAAAATTGCAAAAATTAATTACAAAATTGGGAAAACATTTTTCTTTTTAAAATAAATGGATGAAGACAACGTTTCCTGTGATTGGTAAATTTGCAGATCTGAGGGGTTTTCCAATTTTAAAAGCAATGAAAAAAAGTAAGCTCCAAAGTAATTAAAAACATGAAGTTTGGTCAAACCTTATGTCCGTAAAAGGCTGCAGTTAATACTCAAGACTCAAGAGCATGAACCCATAACTCTTACAAATAACTGCAAAACGAATGATTTCTGCCATCTATTCAGCAAAGTCATACATATGGGTAATCTCCAAATCTTTTAAAGATTTTCAGCAGTCCAGTTCTAACATCCAGCTGCTTTTTTGACTATAATGTCCTCATGATCCAGGGAATGGAAAAATATGGGTGATAGTTTGCCTTGCCTTAACCAAAAGTACTCATCCCTTGTCTTTCTAAAATACAATGTAGATGTCTGTTGTTTCCATTGCATGGAATAGTTTCCCATCAGAGGTTGGGATTCCCAGCTTCCTAGCTTTTTGCAAGCAAATTCCACATTTATCCCATCAGACTATGTCCTAAACTGAATGGGAAAGCCACTATGGTTTTTAGTAGGGGTTGTATTATATAACTTGTGGTTTTGTCCTATTGTTCCCTACCTAGAGTCTGATGATGTTGAGAAGTTGAAGTTGAGAAATATCAATGAATAACCTCTAGAATGGACATACTCCAGAACCTTACCTTGAAACATGTCCTCTGATGAGACCTAGGAGGTGGGGCTTTTTAGTTGTGGCCCCTGAGCTGTGGAATAACTTTTCTTTTGAGATTTGATTGGGCCTCACATTGTTAGCCTTCCGGAAGGCTGTGAAGATGTGGCTATCCCATTGGGCACTGGGGTAAGGAAATCAGATGAGTTCATTCTGTAAGGCATAGTATTTGTTGCTTGTGCCCCAACTCTGAGTTTTGTTGTTGATTCATGGTTGATTTTAATATTTCAATACATTTTAACTCTTTTATTGATATACACTGCCTGGTATGCCAACTTGTGAGTTAGGCAGCTATATTTATCCCTTACATGAATAGGCAGAGAAAATGAGCATTTGGTATATTAAGCTTAACCAAACCACACAGACACACAGAAAATTCATTTAATTGGAATACTGAGCACTGAGTCCACCTCCCTGCTTAAGAATTTGAATTAAAGCATCCAAGATCTTGAAGTCACCTGTCAAAGGAGAACTCACTATTACCTGTCCCTGCTAGCACAAAATTTCCTTGTAAATCAACTGCACATTTCGGAGACCCATCTTAAGCCAGTATGTTTTTCATTGGCCAACCAGACGTCTGTAGTTTGCATGCAAATGGGAGATAGTGATATAATCCTTTTCTGCCACGCTTCCTTAACAGGTACTTCTTGGTACTTGGAGGGATGCATCCTTAGCAAAACTCAATTACTAATTCTTGCTCTATGATGCTGTGATCTCTCCTTTAATGCATGAAAAAGTCTGCATTTCCTGAGGAGCTACAAAATGGAGGGAGGAGGGCTTATGCAGTCATTGAGTGAGTCTAAATCCACAAAGGAGGCAGATTATAGTTTTTCTCATACTTTCCCAAGCTGCAAGCAAACCTTCATGTCTGAGTGTCCTAAATAATCTGTCGCACATAAGATCTGAAATTGGTTCAAGGGTTGTAGGTATCTCATTGCAGTATTTTCAGAATGAGTTTACTTATTTTTGTCTAGTGCATCTTTGCTGAGGATGTTACCCAGTTTGAGTAATTGCAAGAAATCAAGCAAGCTCAGAGAGCACCATGGACTCCTCATGGCAACCCTGAGCTACAAATACTCTCCTTTATTAACTTCAAATATCAGTTTCTGCTTGCCATTCATTATTTTAAGGGATCAGCTAGTTTATTTCTCCTCAATCATCAGACTGAGATTTTTCCTCTGTAGCTTGAAACAGTTCAATTGTACTTGATTCTTTCTCATTGGAAAGTTGGTTTACTATGTATTGTACCTTGGTTTCTAGAAGCATCAGTTTCTGAATGTATTCTCTCTCGACAAGGGTTTCTCTCATTCCACTATCCCATTTGTAAATGATTTTGTATAGCTTTCCATCTAATATAGCTTTCCATCTAACCTCATCTGTGACTATTAGAACTATTTCCTTATTAGCTTTAAGTACAAGAGACCTTTCCTAGCTGTGAAAAAAATCCTGATTTTTCTTTTAAAATTTTTTCCCCATTTTTGTGGTTATTTTGGCTATTGAAATCTTGACTGAGATGTTCTTGCTTGGAATTATTACTGCTATTATCATATATATGGTCTAGACCAGTGGTCCCCAACCTTTCCAGGTCCACGGACTGGCAATGGCGGCAGTGGCAGAAGAAGGGCAGATGGTTTCACACTCACGCTTACCGTTTGCACAAATGGAGCTTTCCATGCTCACCCGCCAGTAGTGCAGCCTGGTTTCCAACGGACCGTGGACCAGTACCAGGCCTCGGATCAGGGATTGGGAATCCCTGGTCTACATTGTACTTATATTTTACTTTTTTCTATCCTTACCACTATTGCCTCTGCTTCTGTCTATTATGGCTACTCTTGGAAAACCATAGAACTAACTGGGACCTACTAAATGGAAAACTAACTGGGATCAGATTAGTAGTTAGGATTGAGAACATTAATGTTTCATTGCTTGCTGTTTTCTGCCCAGATGGAAATCCTATTATTCCCATAGAGTTTCAGTTATATATTTGGAATTATAACCACAACCAGAAACTCATAACTGGGAAGGCAGCCAGGTCAGGATGGAGTAAGGGATTGCTAAGAGCCTGTTCTTCCATTAATTTCTTACATTGTTCACTTCTTTTCACTTTAAAAATTGAGTTTATTACTTTAATAAATCATAATCCAAGACTACTTAAAGTAGGCTCCTTACATTACCAGCTCTGTTGATAAATTGGATAGTCTTCTGTCATTGAGTCTTACTAATAAGCTGTCAACGTTTTCTGACATTTTCAATTAAACTTTTCAGACAGTAAACATTCAGCATTAAGCTATTATTTTGATGATAAAAATGATAAAAATGTAACAAACCTATATAAAAATAGCAGATGTAATAAATGCATCTATAATTAGAATGTTACAACATATCTTGGAAGGATATAAATATGCTGCACATTATATATTAACAGTCATATAAATATGTTTTGCATTCAAATCCGTCAATATTTGTTGCCTTTATAGCTACAGTGTGGGTGGAAGAAGCTAAACCAGAAATGAGCAGATCTAACTGTAAGCTACTTTGCATATTGTCATTTGAGTATAAATTTAGAGCTGACTTTGACTCAATTCACCAAACATAAGAACTGTGGAAGTCAGGTAAGACACCCAGCCTTATAGCAAATTTTGCATGGCTTTTATTATATTAATGTTAACCTCGAGTTTTTAAATATTTAAACTATACATGTAGTTAAATACTTCAGGGTCTTTTTTATCTTCTTTAATGCAAAATATGATTTATATTAGTGTGATGCTCTAGATAGAGCTCAGAGGTTGTACAATATTTTAGAATTTGGTAAGTGATTTTGGAAGTTCTCCATTTCACCTTATAGGAATCAAGAATTTAGACTTCTTTTCCAACTCTAGGAGTTGTCTAATATTGAAGCAGTTAGCCTGAACCTTCAACTAAGATGAGGTAGTTTTCTTAAATGTTCTGAAGCAATTAGTGTATTTAAACTCATTATAGAGATTTCTTTTGTACCACAGAAGTTCTAATAATATAGATTGGCTAAGGTGATATGATTTGATTGTTACTTTTACATACTTAAAGTGAAATATTTGATGGTATGCTGATGTGAAGAAATCTTCCATACAAGAAAGGTTTTGATTACTTATATGATTTCTTATAAATAAATCCATGCTTAAGAAAGGATAAAAGTTATTTTTATACTGCTGATATAGAATGTTGCAATACTCCTAATACAATGTCCTTTATCATTGGAAGAACTGTATTATGGATAAATATTTCATCACATATTGTCCAAACAGGATGTACCTGTTAAAAAATGAGGCACAATCTAGCCAAGATAAAGAGTATTTATGTCTGTTTGATTTTATACTGTAGAACAGTTACTAATATTGTAAACTGCATAGAACATATCCCCTTTCCCTGGGACTAATTATAAGATGATCATGAGCAAAGTTAGGTATAGACTCAAATCATGAGGACTAAGCAAAAGAAATAATAATGAAAATTCTTACATTTCTTATAAAGCTTAAAATTTGTGATGCTTGGTCAATCTTAACATTTGTGACTCAACATAAAGAGCAAAGATTTACTGGGGTATAAACACTGATCACACATATTGGCAATGTAATCAACATCCCTTTTTCATAAAAAATATAGCTACGTAGGTCAGGATTACATCTGTACATTCTCTCACATATGTTCATTACATCTGAAATGCACTAAAAATATTGACAATCTTGGGCAACCTATGACTCACTGTGCTCCTATGCATTTGAACATTTTCAGTTTTACCTGAGACACCATTACCAGGAACATCTCCTGGGATGCCATGGACAAATTGCCAACCTTCAGTGACTGCTACGTGGGACAGATGTCCAGATTTTGTTACCGAGACCTTTTTGCCACTTTTCATTTGTGCCCAGAGGACCTCAGTCAATTCAATAGTTCCGAAGAGTTGCCTCTACTTCCATTAACAGCAGAACCTCCAACTCCTGAGAATTTCTACAACAATCCTTGTGGGTTCCCATTTCAAGTCACCTGTGGAAATTTCGGCAGATGTGACTACTCTTGCAGCCCAGCATTTATCCGGAAAAGAAATGAAAGGGAAAGGCAGAGAGTTAA